AAAAAACGTAACATACCTAGAGAGCAGTAAATAATTCTGTGTCCAAAGAAAGTAATGTTCTTTAAAGCTCATCACTAACTGATGTCACTTTCAGTTCACTAACAATGGACTAGTCGATAGGCTACATTCTCCAGCATTTTTGTCCTCCTCCCTTCTCAGTGGCAGCTGGGGCAGAACGTTCTTCTGATGCAGTCACTCTTCACTTAAGAGAATTCTGAGCAGTCATTAACTTCTAAGTCTGCCTTGTTCCTTCTTATGTCGTTTCCTTTCATTGCCTCCATTTGGTCATGCCAGCATAGCTGATTCCTAACCCTAAACCCCAGCCTGGAGCTTTCTTTCTTTTCTTTTTTTTTTTAACCTTTTAATGATAATAGCATTTATTGAACACTTTCTAAGTGCCAAGCACTGTTCTATGAGCCAACCTGAATTATCTTCTTAAGGGCCAGGTCATGACAGATTAAATGAGCTATGTACCATTACTAATACCATTTAAAAGGTTGGAGTGACAGAGGTACAGAGATTCATTATCTTGTCCAGTAGCATGCAGCTCATCTGTGGGTGACAATGATTTAAACCCAGATCATCTGAACTCCAAGCCTGAGCTCTGCACCACTATCTTCCACTACACTTTTTCAAGGCAGCCTCCTTGGGCCCATCTCTTCTAAAGCACAATCCAGAAACACTTCTGCTCTTCACGTTCAGTGATTTAGCATACTGAGAAAAATCACAGAGCAGAGAAGCAGAAAAAGCAACCCAACCACCAACGCGAATGTCACAAAATCCATACACTTTACTCCTGAGAGGAGCACCCATTTAGAATCTAATTTCTCCTTCCAAATAACTCTCACAAGCTTCGTTATCTGGCTTCGCAATGCACAGAATATTCATCTGGGAAATTAGAAAGTGGGGAAGGGGATGCTAATGGCAAGCATCCTAATAACAGGAAGCTGCGACAGCCTAAGAATAAGACAGAAAAACTGTAAAACGAAGACATGGGCTCAGGGTGGCCAGCAGCCTGGACAGCTAGCGGGGTGCGGGAGCGGTGACCAGGGAGAGCCAGCGCACACCTGGCAAGAGGCTGGGAGAATGCGGGGTCTCTGTTAACAAAGGCAGCACATATGCGACACAGTTTAGAAAATGATTAAAATAATCCTCGAGAATCCTGGAACTCTGGTATTCCCTGGGGCGTCCTGAATAACCAAGGTTTTATTGTGAAAGAAAAATTAATGGACTAGAAAACGAACAAACACCACCATTGGACGGGATTTTAATTTATCAAAGTGAAAAAGCAGGCCTGTGGCTTTGCTCTGTGCGTGGGCCCGTTCTGTGTGCTAATGGCTTCAGACCAGGCCAGCCTTTGTGTGGCGCACTTAATAATGGGAAGAGTCACCAGGAGTCCTGGCTGTTGATGCGACAGCCCATGCTAGATGGTTTGCATGTGTCATTTAATCTTTGCAACAACCTTGCAAGGTAGGGACTCACATGACTTTTTTATTTTTTTAAGATGAGAAAATGAAGCTCAGAGAGGTTGAATAACATGCCTAGAGTCACACAGCTGAGTCCTGGCTGAGTCCGGAGTCCTCACTTTTCCTCACTTGACTCTGCTCCCTCTGTAATCATAAACTACATCCTGAGCCGAGGCTGTGCCTCAAGCACATGGCATCACTTAAACAAGGGGACAGGGAAGGCACGTGAATAGACCTAAGCCCACCAAACACCCAACAAGAGAACAGCACAGAGCCAATACCTCACTGAACCTGGGCCTGGGGCTCACCCTGGCCCAGGCCTGGTTGTGCAGTGCCAGTGGCAGGGCTCTGATTATGAATAGACAATAAATGTGTGCCTGGAAGACCAAGAAAATTCCCCTAGAGTTGAACCAGGTGAGTGGTTTCCAGTTGGCCCACCCTGTGCAACATGTTGGCTAGTAGGCTTTAACGGGTTTGATATCCCCTCTCCGCCCCTATACTGTGACCCTGGAAATGTTATTTAACCTCTCAGAGTGTCCTCATCTGTAAAGTGAGACACTAACAGTACCTGCCTCTGAGGACTGCTGTGGAGCACAAATGAGAAAGTGAATGCAAAATGCTAAATGCCTGGCACATAGAAGGCTTCTATACCTGTTGGTTCCTTTCCCTCCCTTTGAGCAGAACCCAGAGGAAGTAGCCCCAGCTGATGTTTAGGCACTGAGCCTCCTAAAAGGCCATTGAAGACATTCTAGGTGTTCTAGAATGGCAGCGTTGTCAGTCAGTCCTCTGGGAAAGTAACCAGGCTGGCACTGACTCTTTAAAAGTTTCTCAGGGGTACACATGTCATGGGGCCAGTGGAGGAGCCATCACCCAGCACTACAGGGTCTCATGTCTTCTGTGGGTTTCCCTCCTTGTAGACAGAGGAAAATAAAGCCCTGTTGTGCCACAGAGCTGCCTCCTAGGAGCCTGGGAAGGAAAGAGGACAGTGAGAAGGCCCCACACCCCCTGAAAAAGGTCGTAGACCCCACAGCTCAGCCACAGCCTGCGGGAATCCCAGTGGCACTCCCCACCCCTGCTAGGGGGCAGCATCTTCCCCCATGGTCACCACCCGTCCAGCAGAGGACTCTGCCCCAGGGTCACAAGCTGGCCAGAGCACGGGGCCTTCTCTGCCCTGAGGGAGCATTAATGACAGTTGTCAGCTGAGGAATGGGCTTGGGGACAAGAACAAGGCTCTGTTCCTTCTCCTCCTACATAAACCTCATCACCAGACACAATGAAATTTCCGTGGGGCAAGACAGAGAAGGGAGAAACGGAGTAGGTTGGCTTATTTTGGTTTTGATATTATCAGAGTGTTATGTGCACAGTTTAGAAATCAAATCATACTGAAAAACTTATGAAAAACCAGCAGTCTCTTTCCCCACCCCTCCCCCACTTTACCCCCGCTGAGTCCCAGCCCACCCGTCCCTCCAAGTCAATAACTTTTGACTTTATTAACTGCTTCTTTTGGCATTAAGCTTCATATTCTTATATGATATTTTATATTAGTTCTTGCGTTATTGCTTTTAGCCATTAGTTGCCTTCTTGTTACAGCAGTTCAAGATTTTATTCTCTTACATCCCCAACTTCCCCTCCCTCTTTCCTCCCAACATAGTTATATCACAATTTTTGTTAATAACAATAATCAAAGTTTAGCATTAGTATGATCATGTAAATATTGGATTCAAACACCAAGTATTTTACTATAGTAAACTTCCTTTCCTGTTCAATTTTTTATATTTCCTGCAGTTTAAAATGTTCTTGTTTTTTCATTTTAAGGTTTTTAAATTAGAAGTTAAAAAAAATTAGAAGTTAAACGTTTCTATATCTTTTCCTCTCAATTTCTGTCATAGTTTCTCTGATTGGGAGCAATTCTCATGTACGTGACAAATATTTATTGAGCATCCACTTCTGTGTATTATTGTACTGGGTGTTAAGAGGTAATAGAAAGAAACACGGTCCCTGGCCATTAGCAGCCTAAAATGTAGTTGAGAAATAAGAGAAGTACACATAAAAATAAACAAACAGTGCAGGAACAAACAACAATCCAAGCATTGCTGGCTCCAAGTGCTCTGTGGTGTGCAGAGTTCATGGTGCCCTGCGGGGAATGTTCTGGAGTCAGAGGTTAGAGCCACAAGGAAGGTTTTCTGGAGCGCACCAGGCCTGAACTGGGCTTTGAAGTCTGATCGGAAGGTATAGGCAGAGACGAAAAGAGAACATTCCAGGTGAGGGAATCACATGAAGATTTGGTCCGTGAACTCCAAACATATAAAACATGTTTTTAATAGGCTTATATCTCAATTTCGTCATCATTAAAAAGTAGAAAGAGATTTACAACTGGCACTGTTTATATAAGAGAAAATCCCTATTCTTAGAAAATATATGCTAAAGTATAGGGATAAAGGGCCAAAATGTAGGTAACTTACCCTCAAATGGTTTAGAAAAAAAGATGTAGACAGATCGTATATGGGTATTTCTTGTACTGTTGTCATTTTTGGAACTCTTTGGAATTTTGGAATTATTTGAAATTTAAATTATTTTTTCCATTATTTTGGAATTTAATTAGGGAATTATTTAAATTATTAAAAATTAAAGATTTAAGGCAAGTTATGAAAACATCTTCAAGAACTCTATCCTAAGAAAATAATCTCATTTATATAAGAATAATTATTTAGGCAGAAAATTATTCTTTGTTGCCTCTGTGGTAGCAAAAAAAAAAAAAAAAAAGGAAAAGAAATCAACCTAAATATTCAACGAAAGGAAAATGGCCAAATAAATTTTTTGATATGTGGTGCTGCCATTAGCATGAATTTTCCCCCAAATTTTAAGTATCATAAGAAAATGATCAGGGTATGATGTTAAATGAAAAAAAAGAAAAGGCAAGATATAAACTATACATACTCTATAAATCCATTTACAAGTATGTATCTACATAGACGTAGAAAAAAAGAACTGAAGAAAATATACCAATGTATTAACAGTCACAGGATTAAGGGTAAGTTTGTCTTTATCTTTTTCTATATTTCAAAATTTTCCACATAAACAGATATTAATTTTCTAAGAGCAATGAAAATTTTCTAACTTTTTTAAAAACATAAAAATGAGATTTGAGGAAAAAACTAGGAGTTTTAATAATTCTTAAAGATCAATATAAAATCATATGTATGTGTTTATTCTTTAAAGTCACGTTCTTATCAGATTTAAATACAGTGATTTTATGTTTTAAAAAGTAGAGAAGACTATCTACCGTATGGGGTTATTGGCCAGATTAGGGAAATAGTCTTTGTAAAGCGCATAACACAGTGCGCGCCTGCCCAGGCTAGGTAGGGAGCATCCCGCAGTACTCAGCTCTTTTGATGACCCTCCCTTCCCTGCTTCCTCTCTGCCAGCCTCTTGGGTTGAGAATGAGTTTTACTGGGCACGGCCATCCCCCCAGCCGGCACTAGGCCCCGGGTCGGGAGGGGTGGCCGACTGCTGACTGCGCTGGCCTCCCCGCAGGTGGCAGCCGAGTACTTCAAGAACACCACGCTGCTGCTGGTGGGGGTCATCTGCGTGGCGGCCGCCGTGGAGAAATGGAACCTGCACAAGCGTATTGCCCTGCGCATGGTCCTGATGGCCGGAGCCAAGCCGGGCATGTGAGTTGCACTCGGGGTGCTGAGCCATTGTGCATCCCCCCAGCTCCCAGTGTGCCTCCAGGACAATGGTCCTGGGTCACAGTGGGATGTTCACGTCAGCCTGTTTTTCTGTTAAGGGGGGTGGAATGACACCAGAGCTATGGGGCACCCAGCTCCCCCTCCAGTAGTGAGAGGGCCTGTGACCATAGAACAGAGATTTGAATCTGTGACTTTGATGTCATTATCATCATAATCTAAAGGATTTACATCACAGAAGGGGCTCATTAGGTAACAAAGGATGGACCAACAGAAATTGTTTCCCAACCTTTTCCCTGCATACTAGGGAACAGGCTGGACAAGGAAGCAGGTGTTTTCTTTGTGGTGTAAGACATGGGTGTTTCCTCCCATCCCTCCTGAGTTTTTGTCATCGGTTCAGACCACAGACCCAGTTAGACAGGTTGCATCTGACCATGCCCCTGTTTCCTCTTTCCAAGTCTGCTGTCAAGGAGGCTACACAGAAGACAGTCCCTCAGGGAATGTGTGGGAAGTCAGGGTTGACAGTTTAGTGAGCCCCGCTGCTGCTTCACTGGACACTCCTTTGGAATATCTTTCTCAACTCCTTCTAGTTTACAACTTTCTTGCTATGTTTTATGTAAGCTGCCCTGTCTCCTTTGGAAGTCAAACAGTGTAAATAAACAATATGGTATTTGTTTTCAACATTAGTCATTTACATGAATATAGGTTATGCTGAAAGCATGTTTCTGTCTCCTAGATTGTCAAGTGGGGCTGCTAACTAGAGCTTAATCCACCCCCCATTGCTCAGTAATAATCTTGTGCCATACTCAGTCTGCTAGACACACGATGGCTTTTCCTCACATCATGTTGGGACTCAGTGGCTCTTTAAAACCCCTGTATAATACCTTCAAGAATTTGGGGATAAAAATTGTCTTTCTGTTCTTCCATATTTACCTTGTCACCCAGCAAGTTTCCACTGTGTAGTGCTGTTACTGGTGCGTGTGCAGGTCAGGCAAACTCATGTTGCCGTCGGCCTTGAAAAAACACCATGAGGACCTATGGCTACCCACACAATCCACATGACAAATGTACTGTCCCTAAATTGTGCACAGTCAATGATTCCACCTAAAATAATAAACAGGGTAGAACTATGAACCAGAATCATGTCTGTACAGGCGCATGTTGCATAATGTTTTCAAAGTCAAAGAGAAATAACTCAAGGGTTATCCTGATTAGTGTTTTCCACCAAGCCTCGACTCCTTAAGATACCAGCTGAAAAAGTACACACACAGTGATACAGGACACCTCTGTGCCTTTGGGGCTATATTTCCAGCATGATTAGAGTGAGTCACGTAGTGGGCAAAACTGGGAGTTCCAAAGATTACTCTGTATTTGGTCATTAGTAACTATCGTGGCTTGGCTGCAAAGCAAGAAATATAATGATACTCATAGAATTGCTGGCTGCTAGGGCAAAAAAATAATTCCCTTACATGCAAAAATACACATCATCACCGAGCTCCAACTAATGAGAGAAGAGCAATCAGTAAGTCCATGCCCTGTGACCCTTCTACCAAAGCTACTCTCTACTTAAGTAAGGGCTTTTTTCTGGCTAAGGCCACTAGCCCATGAACTGTGATTCATTCATTCAACAAGTATTGGTTTCATTCTTACTCTAAGCCCAGCACCGGGAGTACAAAGCTGAATGACACCTGGTATGACATAAAAAGCAGATTTTTTGGATAAATGCCAGCCACGGTTCTCTAGGCCAGCACCATCGCATCAGTAGGAGGCCCCAAAGGAGCTCTGTGGGGTCCGCAGTTGGGCTCCCAGGAGGTGGGCAGCCTGTGGATGCTCGGCCCACCCTCCCTCCCTGCAGGCTGCTGCTCTGCTTCATGTGCTGTACCACGCTGCTGTCCATGTGGCTCTCCAACACCTCCACCACCGCCATGGTCATGCCCATCGTGGAGGCCGTGCTGCAGGAGCTGGTCAGTGCTGAGGAGGAGCAGCTCGTGGCAGGCAACTCCAGCGCCGAAGAGGCCGAGCCCATCAGTACAGTCTGCGGGAGTCCATCCCCTCCACCCTCCTCCCCGGGTCTCCTGCCAGTCTCCTCTTGTGATACTACCCAGCTTGGCCTCCATGCCCTACCCATGACTCCTCACCTTCTGCTTCTTTGGCCCTCTCCCCTCCTTCCCATAGCCTTTGTAACCTGAAGCTTCCCTGGCCCCCCATTTCCAGCTCTTTCTTCCTCCACTTACAGGCACCCCCCCACTGCTCCTTGCCCCCCCAAATGCTCACGGGTTACCACAAAACCCCAGGGCCTGCGTCCACCAGCCCCATTATGCCTGCGCAGGGGAGGGAAGGGGTGGGATCATTCGCAGCCCTCCAGCCCCAGCCCCGAGCCCCTGGACTTCACTCCAACCCACAGTGTCAGCTCCAGCCTCCACTTCTCACCTGCTGCTTTTCTTTGCTACTGTAGGTCTTGATGTAAACAACAGCCAACCTTCGCTGGAACTCATCTTTGTGAATGAAGAGTGAGTATGACTGTCCTCTGCCCAGACAGAGCCTCTCAGGGTCCATTGGAGAGGTCAGGAAAGATGGCACCTGAGCCTCTGAACAAGTCTTTGAGGTGTTTGCCCCAGGCTCCGCATCCTGCCAACCCTGCCCTCATCCTGCCAACCCTGCCCTCCCCCACTCCTCTCCATACCTAGGAGCCCTTCCCAAGGTCTCGGGGGTGACTCCCTTAACCATAGGGTACTGCAGTGATGGGAAGAATTAAAAAGATTACCCCAAATCTGAGTGGATATATAAATTGTCCATACATCCACCAAGGAGAATTTCATCTAAATCAGTTCCCCTCTTCGAAGAATAATATGTTTAATCAATTAATGGAAAGACACATAATAGATGCCACTGTAGATTCTTGGAGAATCACAAGATATTTTATACATATTAGATATGGTCTTGTTAGATATGGCTAAGAAATATTAGGTGACAGGTTGGGGGTTAGGGGACAGTTAGTGAGAGGGCCATGTGATGGTGAAAAGAAGCTGGAAAGGGAGAAATACAGTCTCGAACATTTACGTCAGGTAGACCCATTAACAGTTGATTTCTTTTGGAGATTCCATTTCAAACTGTGGTCTTCAAGGTATTCTGTGATGAATATTCCACATTTAAAAGTTGGACTTGTAAATAGAGCTCAGCTTTGTAATTTGCCCTTTTCATAAAAGATGGAAAAGACACATTGCATGAAATCAGCATATGCATGGGACAGATGCAGAAGGGGCCAGCAGGAAATCACTTCATTTTTCTCTTAGCCCAGTCTTCAGTCATAGAATATCAGATTTCTCTCCCCACCCCTGATGATATCTCAGGCAAATCCCATAACTCATCTGGTTCCTCTCAGATATTACAACGATCTCCTTTTCAGACATACCACAGTCTAGTCCAGATTTATATCAGAACTTCAGTCACTCATCCAAAGCTTCTCCCTGGCCTCCTCTTGCTCCCACCCCCACGCCCCTCAGCCCAGGCTGCAGAAGGAAAGAGGTGACAGTGAGTGGGGGAGCTGACACTTCTTGCACTCGCTCCACCCCCTCCTCTCCTCCTCCCCCACCCCCCACTCACTCTGCTGCTTCTTACTTCTCCAGAGTTAGGGTGGAGGGTGCAGGAAAGATAAAGGGGCAAAGAGGGTCTAAGCTGAGCTACTGTAGTCTGGGGTTGGCGCCCTCTCTGAGATTCAGATCCCAGCTCTTTCACTTGTGAGGCGCCTACCTTCAGGTCTTTGGAGAGTCCCCTAGAGGCGATGTAGATGGCTGTCCATGCTCTTGGATGACCGGTGCCCTCCCCCTGTGTCTGTGCTCTGGTGGCTCACTCCCCTGCAGCCCCTGTGTTCAGGGGTGCAGGGCCTTTTCCAGATGGCTCTAGCCAAGCCCCCTTGCATGTGTCCCCCGCCCCTGTTGAACACTGAACATGCAGGCCGTTCCTGTGACAGTGGGACTTTTCTCCTCACTCTGGCCTCTCTAACAGTGCCCCGCTGGCCTTTGCTCTTTTCCACATGAAAGTGCATGTCCCCAAACTCCAAAGCACAAGCTTAAGTTATCCCTAGAGCCCCTCAGCATCCTGCACACAGGCAGGAGCCAGGGCTGTGGGCTGTCATCGCGCTGAGGCCTGTGCACTTCCCTCCAGGCCAGCGCCTCCCAGGCTGCCCGAGGGGTCCCTGCCTGCCCTCCTCGCCCAATTTGGGAAGGATGGAGGGGAAACATCACAGCACATTCTCCTCCCTGGCTAAGTACTCTCTGCAACGCATGCTTCCCTCTGAAACCCCATCAACTCCTATCTGTCCCTGGCAGAGGGTCCAGAGGGTGATGGCAACAGGTCTCCGTGTCCTGCATGTGTGTGCCCGACATGCTCGTCTGTCTTACAGTGGCTGAGCTGGGAGCACCCACTGTCCTCACAACGAGGATAAACCAGAAATATCCACTGAGTACACAGTGTGTCAGTAACTCTGCTAGTTATGTTCTCGTCTTCCTCTGTCCTCGAGGCAAAAGTTGGGGACCAGCAAGAGTGGGAGTTGGCTGTCATCTCCTGAGGTGCAGCTGCTGATTGGAAATTCACCCCCATCTTCTGGTTCTCATTTACCTTTACCCGGGTATGGTCCAAGCCTGCCCTGCTCCTACTGCCTCAGATAAGCATGTCACAAGTTTCTCTTTCTAGATAGTGGCCTTCCCCAGTCAGCCAGTGAGGACATGGTGGGGCACAGGCTCTCCAGTAGACAGAGAGGGGCTCCTATCCACCCCACCACTCAGCATCCGGTGCTAAGTAATGGTGTGAATGGTGCAGGAGTACCTGTACCATAGTCCTGCTGTGAGAATCACAGTGTCCTGAGGCTTAAAGTCCATGTCCCTGGGCTCAGCACCTAGTGAACCCCATGTTCGCTATTGTCAGGAGCATTAGTATTGCTGTTAGCATTGCTTTGAAGGAAATGTGCTGCTCTTGCCCTCAGAAGGAAGCAGGCCCCTGGCATCCCAGAAGGCGAGGAAGGCTGGGGTGGGAGCAGCCTTCTTTGTAGGCTAGAAAACTGGAGTGCAGAGGGTCCAAGTCCCTTACACCAAGCACCCGAAGCAGGGGGAGAACTCCAGCCTCAGGAAGCCTGGCCCACTGTTGCTCCTTGCTCTCCTTTGCTTTGTTCCAGCCCTTCGACAGCAGACTTCACTTCCCTGGTGCACAACAAGGTAAGGCCTTGGGGTTTTTCTGTGCTTTGGGATCACCTGACAGTCCCTGAGGATAACTCAGGGACGGAGACGCTTGGCAGCTTTTCCTAGCGTCCAGCAGCCTCCACAGATAAAAGGGTGGGGCGCTCACATATAGGAAGGGCCCGTCAGCCCCTGGCAAGGACCTGGGTAGTTCCAAAGTCCAGCCCCAAGTACCAGGTTTAGCCACATAAAGTACAGGTTAACCTTTTTTCATGGAAGCCCAAGATTCTGCCATCCAGATTTTCAAGAGCCACAGATTCAACCTTAGGATCCCTTTCAATGGGGATTCCATTTACACAATCTTATTACAAAAGGGATACATTTGTAGGGGAAGGCGAAGTTGACCTGCATGCTGCCACTTGAACTCACCCCTTCCCCCCCAAGCTGGTTTCACGTCACTCTGTGAGAGACGTAAAAGGCTGATAAAGCTGTGTTCTTTGTTGTGGTGTGATTTTTTTTTTTTTTTCATTTTCTTTGTTTAAAAAGGAAAATGGAGGGTTCTTCATTACCTAATGAAGTCCCAGCAAGTCTTGCTCTCCTATAAGTGCACAGCCATGTTCTGTCAAGTTCTAGAAGCCTCTCGAAAGGGGTGCTTCACACTGGACTGGGTGGGAAGCTGCTAACGGAGGCAGGCCTGACCAAATGCCCTCCAGTGCATGTCCTGGCTTCTGGTTTCTGATTCCCACAGCACTGAGGCATGGGGCAGCCCTGGGGTGATTAGGTAGTATTTTTCCAGTCTCTGGGCTCACCACAGCCTGTTCCTAATAGTGCGACAACCTTTATCCCAACAGAACATGAATGGAGTGCCCATGATCACCAACCCTCTCAAAACAGCAAACCAACGCCAGGGCAAGAAGCAGCACCCATCCCAGGTAATGGAATTGCACCTTCCAGCCCTGTCCTATTTCCTGCATAAAATGCCTTGAGCTTCCCAAGGTCTCAGTCTTGCAGTTGTGAGGGTGTCTTTATTTCCAGGCACTCTTTATCCACTTTGCCTTGAAGTTGTGAGGGCGTCAGGCTAGTGAGCTGTCACCAGGCACTCTTTATCCACATACATGTTTGGCTATGTGTGCCATGGAGATAAAAACGTCTAGCTCCCTTGACTTCAGCAAGACATTCCACCACCTGAGGCACAGTTTCTTCAACTATAAAAGCTGAGGGTTGGTCTAGATCAGAGGTGGTCAAACTATTCTTCAAAAGTGCTTCAGGGACACTGCAAATATTTTATTTAAGTATCCTGAAATTGTAAAGCAACTGCTTTTCTGCACAAATAAAGATTTTCCTAGTATAATACCACTGAAATAAAATGCAAAAATCAAATGTTAAGGCTGGTATAAAATGGCAACTGTAACTTATAACCCTTGACTTCAAATTTTGGGGTTCATCAAAAGTCTCAATTGTTTAACATCCATCGTCATCATAAATAACTGCCATCATTATTCAGTGCTTATTATGTCCCAAGAACTGTGCTAAGCATTTTCTCTCTATCCTTGGCTCCATGAATAGTGATTCTGAACTCCATTTTTGCAAGTGAGTCAGAGAGATGAAATCGTGTACCCAAGCTGAAGAGCTAGTGAGGGGAGCATTATGATTCAAATCCAAGTCTCCCTGACCACATGCAGTGACCACCCACCCACCTCCAGTATACTTCCAGTTACAGAATTGATGTACGCCAATTAAATGCTACATTTATGTTTTATATATCAGGGTTCTCTGTAAAATTTCACTAGAAGAAAGAATCATAGAAAACCATTGGACAGAGAATCTATGAGACCTCTTCCAGGTCTGACAATCAATGGATCATGCAAAGAAATTTGGAAGGGTCCAGCCTTACTTTGGCCCTCCTAGGAGGATGGGGCAGTGCTTAAGGGCTTAGAGAAATGTGGCAGGGTGGCCTCTTCCTCATTGGTTTTCTTCTGACCTGAATTGCTGACATTTGCGTCAGGCCTCTCCTGGTCTTATGAAGAATCTGTGAAGGTGGCCAGACCTGAAGGGAGCAGGGGGTCATTTGCTTCTTTAGTCCACACTTGAGACCAGAGCTCAGCAACCTCTTTGATCCTGAAAGGCTGTCATCTGGACCAAGCAGGTCCTTAGAGGACCACGGCAAGGCTAAGCCCTATGTGCAAGGAGAGGAAGAAAAAGTAGGGAGGAAAAGCCAATAGGTAAGAAGAAAAGGGTAAGGAAGGGAGGGAGGGAGGGAGGGCAGAATCACACTTCAATCCTCTTGCCAGTGAAAGCTGGGCTTTTTCTGTAATCCAAGCCTTATTTTTTAGCCATCTCCCCAGCAGGACTGTCATTCTAACTCCACATAAAATTACTATCATTCAGACACAAAGTACAGAGCAACCAGTTTTACTGGAGTTCAATAAAAAAACAAACCATGCTGTCAATATTGACAATAACACTAATAACAACAAAAATAATAATAGCTTCCCACTTATTAATGCCAGGACGTGTTCCAGGTGCTTTGCATATATTACTTCGCTTGTTCCTTACAACAATGTGGCCAAGAAAATATGATTTTCCCCATTTTACAGAAGAAGAAACTGCAGCTCAGAGGCATACTCAAGTTGGTAAATGGTAGAAATTGGGGTTTGTGTTTCTGATGCCCAAGCTCAAAGCCTTTCCACTGCACCACAGTGCCTCCTGCCTCACATGCTTTGTGTGCCGGACAGGAGAGCTGAAGAGACTCATTGATTTCCCTTTGGTAGGAAAAGCCACTGGTCCCAACTGCCAGCCCCAGGAACCGGGAGCTGAACAGAAAGTACAGGTCCCAGCATGACCAGATGATCTGCAAGTGCCTTTCTTTGAGCATATCTTACGCTGCTACCATTGGCGGCCTGACCACCATCATTGGCACCTCCACCAGCCTCATCTTCCTGGAACACTTCAACAAGTAAGTAATTCACTTGGTCTACAAATACCTACTAACCACTCTGTGTGTGTCGGGAACTGGACTGGGTACTAGGGATATAACAGAAAATGAGACTAGAACAGTTTCTGTACCAAGAGAGAAAAATCAAATCATTCTAGTTCACTGTGACTGGAGAAGTCCAAGATTCCGCTGGGAAAATCCTGCTGGGGGAGCTCACAGTTCTGGAGGGATGAAACACCTCCCTGAAACCTGAAGGATGAGTCAGAGTAAACTAGATGAAGGGAGAGTTTCCAGACAAAGAAGGTGGTGTGTGGGAGGACTCTGAGGCAGAGAGCAGGGCACATAAAAGAAAATGATAGAGGGTGGAAGGAGGCCAGGGAGGTGGACGGGCACATCGCAGAGGGCTTGGCAAGGCCCACTGAGTAACTTGGACTTCATCCCAAAATTCTGGGAGAAGCCTTTAAAGTATCTTAAGCAGGGAGTGAGGTGGTCAGATTTATAGTTGTACAAACTCATTCTGGGTGAAAAAATGGAGAACAGATGGGAAAGGAGAAAGCAGGCAGCAGGAAGACAATTTAGGACACCACTGCAGTTGCCAGGAGAGGGCCAATGGGGGCTTGGATGACAGTGGCAGTGGGGAGGAGAAACGGTCAGACTTGAGAGATATCAGAAGTAACTTGATGGGTCTTCGTAGGATTAGAAAGGGCCTGAGAGCAGGAAAGGCCAACTCTAACTCTCAGTGAACTGGCTTTCAGCAGCTAGAGAAACAGAGGGGAAAGAGGAGGAGGGGGTTTGGAAAAGCTGACCCTAAGGTTGAGATGTCCAGTTGGAGATATAGATCTGAATATCAAGGGAAATATTTAGGCTGATAGCATAGATCAGGAGTCAGTGGCCTGCAGGGCGGGTGTCACAGGTGTGCAGCCTGGGCAGTGACACAGGGCCACCGTGCTCAGAATGGCCTCACACTTGGTTTAATACTATGCTGCCCCTGTCTGGAAAATTAATCAGAGACAAGAGGAGAAACACATCTTGCCTTTTAGCAGGATAGAGAGGGAAGAAAAGGAAGGAGAGGAAAGAGAAAAGCAGACAGGGAGGAAGAGAGGAAGGGAGGAAGGAGGGAGATAGGAGGGACAAAGAGAGGTGAGGGAGGAATGACCAGTGCAAGTTCAAGACTTAATTCCCCAGAATCTAAGCCTCATGGACTCCTCACACCATTTTTTTCTGTTTAAGCTCTGAGTTTCTGGTCTTTAATTTCTGGTTCACTTTGTGGTTGGACCAATTCATATTCCCTTAGTCTGCTTCTCCTTGGGTGGTAAGATTGTACATTTAGGCAAAGTTATTGCTTACCTGACCAATGGTCATACTATGAAAGAAAGGTGGGCCCCCTGCACCCCCACTGGGCTGAAAGTGCCTCCGTGGTGTTTCTTGACATTGGTGAACAGACTACACCCAAAGTTCATTTTGGCTGTTTCAAAAACCTACAAATTAGTTGTTAAATTTAATATCAATTGATATAGGTATATGCACTTCAAAAAGTTCGTGGAAAAATAGAATTGAAAGATAATACCAACCTTTCCATGAACTTTTGAAGTACCCTCATTCATAAATATATATTCTTACTTTTTAAAATGCTATAAATGGCATTAGGCCCTCACGTTTATCTACAAAAGCCTATGTAATCTATTCTGAAATTCCATGCCTTTTTCTGGTCCAAGAGCAGGGCCTGGGTTTCCATGACCAGCAAGAGATGATGCAACAAACATTGTGCCTGTCCTCCCAGGGCAGCCCGTAGTGAGTCATGCTATGGTTGATGCCCTCTGGCATCTTTCCACTCCTAAGCCCTTCTTCCCAATGCCCACTCTCAGCGGTCCATGCTGGCTTTTAGGGAGGCTGCTAGCTGTCCCAACTTCCCCAAGAAGCACAAGTGAAAGTAAGTCCTTGACCAGGCCACAGTGCAATGGAGCGGGTGTCCCTGTGATGATAGAGAAGATTAAACACCTTGCACCCTGTGCTTTCATTACATTCTCTCTTTTGGGAATCCTGCAGTGAGAAGCATGAGAAGAGGGGCACGATCTCCTCCTGCCTTGGAGGAGTTCTGTGGCCAGCCCCACTAAGACCCAAAGAAAAAGAAACACAGGCTGTTTAGGCCTGAGCCTTGTCTAGGCAAAAGTCATGGCTCGCATATGGTCCATCCCAGCTCCCCAGGACACAACACATGGGCTGAGGCCACAGCTCTGCCTGATGATGTGTGAGCAGTCCTCTGGCAAATTCTCTGTCCCCTGAGACAGCAGTGGATGTTGATAAATATTTGGAGATTCCAAGTCCTGGTTCTCTTATGGGCACTGTTAGTACTTGCAACCCTCATAAGGACCTAGAGCCCAGAGTTCTCCAAAACTAGCTGTCTTATGTCCCCCAATCAAAACTTACATTCCTATAGTAATTTTATAAATAAAATACACCAGGCTGCCCTCTCCTTTCTCTGTTATCCTGAAAACCAGATGAATAAACTTATCAGAATCTTTATGTAAATTAAGGGCAAATAGGTCGTAAGTAATTCCCTTGGGTGCAAAGTACTGTAGACAAACTTTAGTGGTATTAGTTTTGGTGCCTTAGATGCCTTTTTAGCTTATGTCATTATTCTTGCCTGGACTCTGTATAGCTGCGACTGACAAGTGAGTTCTAGGTAATGTTTTCCCATATTGTCATCATTATCTCTCCCCTTAGACCCACTTAGTACCCCACAATACCATATGGAGAGCCTCCCTTTTCTAATCTCTGACCTGTTCTTTACCCTCCAGCCAGTATCCAGCTGCAGAGGTGGTGAACTTCGGCACCTGGTTCCTCTTCAGCTTCCCTATAGCCCTCATCATGCTGGTGGTCAGCTGGTTCTGGATGCACTGGCTGTTCCTGGGCTGCAAGTGAGTCCCCCGGCCCTTGCAGCAAAGCACTGAGGCTCTCCTGTCGGTCCAAAGGCTGTGGCATGAGCCCTGGAGGACTCTGCTCAAGGGGGACTACCAAGAAGCCACAGGGCATGCCCCAAGGAGAAGGCAATGGACTGGACCGGGAGTCAGGCGTTGTCTCTTCTAGACTCTCTCAACACTCCTGAACTCTGCACTTCACTCTCAGCTCTACAGTGAAATGTCCTCAATTCTAACTCAATGGTTAGAGGGCTTGTCCCATTCATAAAGTCTGAATTGGAGGAGATTGTCTCACGTAGCTTCATTGCTCTCAAAGCGTATAGAGTAATTCCAACTACTCTAAGAAATATGACTCCAAGTAGAATTTGCCTTAGGTTTAATTTTATAGACACGAGTGATTTATACTTAGAAGTTTGTATGGAATATACTCATATCCCTCGAAATAACAAGTTAGACATTTCCCTTGCAATATTATTTCTAATATTAATCTGCTTAGCAAGCCTTTTCTTCATAACCAGCTGTCTACTCCAAATTTGATCAGTTTCAAACACATAAAGGGAAGATATATGTGATGTTTTGCTATTAGTCCATGGAACTCAACATTCCATTACTCAAGGAATGTTCTCTGAGTTGACTTTTATTTTTTACTGAGACTGTTTTCAAAGCAATGATGGCTGTATACATCTGTAACTCCAGTATCTGTAAAACACCTACTTTTACCCCAGATAAGGCTTGTCTCTAGACAAATACACATACACACACCCCTGTATCTGTGGCACACACAAACATAAACATCTAGACATATACACCACCTTACACTGATTCTTTTACTTATGTACAAATATGTAGAAAGAACCCCACATAAACATACTCGCACAAATCCATAAGCCACAACTTCACATTGATAAGTCAGGGAGATGCCCAGATGGATATACCCAAAAGGCTAGGGGGGATAGGCTAGGTTGATGAGAGTCTGGGTAATTTGGAAGACAGAAGTTGTATGAACAGTGGGGGCTAGAGGGGCAGAGGGTACGAGTGAAGAGGAGAAGCGATCACAGCAAGCAAGCAGGTTAGTGTTTGCTTAATTTTTGACCTATGTGCCTCAGAAGCATGTTTTCTTTATTTTCCTGCTCATTCTCCCTTCTCAGTTTTAAAGAGACCTGCTCTCTGAGCAAGAAGAAGAAGACCAAAAGGGAAGAGTTGTCAGAGAAGAGGATCCAAGAGGAATATGAAAAGCTGGGGGACATTAGGTAAAAATCAGCCACTCCCCTTCTCCCAGAGAGAAAACACAGCAGGTGAAGTGAGCACAGAAGCAGCCCTGTTCTCGACAGTCCCCAATGCTGGGATAATTTTCCACAACTATGAATCCAGGCATTTAGAAGATACTACATAATGCCAAAGTCAAGCTGGCCCAGATTCCAGGTGGCCGCCCTTCCCGTTTGCTGTATTCAGAGCCCAAGGAATAGCCGTGCTGTGGGGTGGAGTCCACGTGGCGATGGGGCAGCAGGGAAAGAACAAGCCTGGCCACCCTCTTGGAACATGCTGAATCCCCTCTGAAGTCAGGACTCCTTACATTGCTCAGATGGGCCACCACAGGTCCAGGGGTTACTCCTAGAGAACGGGGGGACCAATAGAGATGTCTAAGACAGAGGGTCCAATAAATTACTAACACTCAGTCAATTCCATCAGCCTCCCCACAGTGACCCAGCACCCTATTTAGTGCTATTTCTCCATTTATGGCAATTGGCAGGTGCAACTTTGACTGGGTAAAACAATTCAGGTAGTAATTATTTTTTAAAGCTTTAAGTTGTTAATACACATCCATTATAGAACATTAAAAAATATAGGAAAGTATAAGGAAAAAACTTAAATTTACTTGTATTCTTAGCATCCTAGTGTTGACTGTCAACAAGTGTTAACGTGATATACGTCTTTCATGCTTTGTGCAAAATTATATATATTTTTGGTAAAATTCACTCCATACTGAATATAGTTGTACATCTTGCCTTTTTTCACTTAACCCTGCACTATCATTATGTCACGTCTTTCATGCTTTGTGCAAAATTATATATATTTTTGGTAAAATTCACGCCATACTGAATATAGTTGTACATCTTGCCTTTTTTCACTTAACCCTGCACTATCATTATGTCCCCGTGTCATCACTCTGCTGTGCAAACATGACTTTTAGTGGATGCATCTCAGTTTAACATATAGTTGTACTGAAATGTATCCAATGTCATGGAATACCATTGGATATGTAGGTTCTTTCCATTTTTTAATAGGTAATATTTCAATGTGTACTTCCAGTTATTTTCTTAGATGAAGAGACTGAGCAAATTTAAGGTTGTGATATACTCATATTTGTCAAATTGCCTCAAAAAGTTGTACTAATTCCTACTCCCCCAGCACAGTGTTTGAGGGTGCCCATTCACTGCACTCTCCTTGTAGGCTATATTGTAAATTATTTATTTCAATGTGTACTTCCAGTTATTTTCTTAGATGAAGAGACTGAGCAAATTTAAGGTTGTGATATACTCATATCTGTCAAATTGCCTCAAAAAGTTGTACTAATTCCTACTCCCCCCGCACAGTGTTTGAGGGTGCCCATTCACTGCACTCTCCTTGTAGGCTATATTGTAAATTATTTTATAAATGGATAGTTCTGTGTTCTCTTTCCCTTCCAACCAACATTTCTCTTGTAAACATGGTTGTGTCCTATTTTCTAGCATCTCTCAGTTCTCTTCCCATTTCACTGCTGGCCATTCATAGTGGTTAAGCAGGGACTGTGTTTTATGTCTCAGGTATTGGAACTCTGAATTCAGGAGCTTCCAGAAACAAAGTGAAAAAGTCAGAAGAAATTTCCAAAAAATAAAAAAATAAAATTTCTCAGTTTCTAGAGTCTTTCTGTTTTATTTTATAGCTACCCTGAAATGGTGACTGGATTTTTCTTCATCCTGATGACCGTGCTATGGTTTACAAGGGAGCCTGGCTTTGTCCCTGGCTGGGATTCTTTCTTTGAAAAGTAAGTGATATCATTTCCTCCTTAAGACCAACCCCTTCACCCAAATTCTTCAGGCAGTAACCACTTAGGGGCACATATGAGGCCAGGAAGCATCTTGTTTCCTGAGAAATCCACTCTTCTTAGGGAAGCTCAGTGCAGAATCAGGAAGAAAATACAGTCTTTGAGTCCCAAGCTGGGGCTGGGATCCAGGGCTGCTACTGGCCAATGGCATGACCTTAACCTTGTAACCTCAGTTATCTCACAGATTGTTATGAGAACAAAAGGAGATGTCTGTAAAGAGGAGCACCAGCTGTAGAGAGAGAAGGCCACGGAGGGACTGAGGCCTGCAGAAGTACACATAAGCTCCTGCACCTTCCTGCACGGTCCTCTGAGGGCCAGCGCAGAGGCCACAAGGTCTCCCAACACCAACTTCTCATTTGAGAAGGGACACACATGGGGGTGTGGCCCTTGCAGAAAACAGGTCTCATCTTTTTCTGTTCTCTTTTATCTAACCAACTCCTGATCCCTCCTGCTAAGACATCTACCCCAGCCAGGTCCTTACATGGGGGTGTGGCCCTTGCAGAAAACAGGTCTCATCATTTTCTTTTCTCTTTTATCTAACCAACTCCTGATCCCTCCTGCTAAGACATCTACCCCAGCCAGGTCCTGCCTCCAGACATTAACCATTGTCCATTCAATCCACTGTGAGAGGAGCCAGCAGGCTGGGCTCTCACTTGTCACTCCCACGCTCACACTCATACATGCGCATGCCCCACGTCTCACCACCCACACACACACTCCCAGTGTGGGCACTCATACGTCACACATGCATGCCACCCACTGAGCATGCCTAAACCAATGCCACAGGATAATTGTGGGAATAGAATGAAGCAGTAGCCAGGGGCACTTCCTGGGAGAGAGTCATAGCAATGAGAGGCCATGTTCTTCATTGACAGAAAGGGAAACTGGGGCTCCAAGAGGACAGAGGCTCCGCAGCCAGCCGCAACAAACAAGCCCACCCTCTGTTCACATACAGCCCCTCATGTCATTCCCTCTGCCTTCCCCCTGCCCACTCCATCCTCAGTCTTTCCAGGGAAGGGTCTGAGCTTAGTTTCCCTACGACAGGCCAAGAAAGAGGAGCCTGGTCACAGCTGCTCCCCATGGCCCTCAGGATGGAGCATCTCAGCAGTGTCTCTCTGGCTGTGTTAGGAGACAGGCCCCCACCCCTGCACAGAAGCCTGCCCTCAGCTACCAGTGCCTGCAGCCCCCACAGTGCCTGAGCCCTGCCAGAGGCTGCCAGATATCACCAGGACCACCAAGCAAGGCCAGCTCCCTGTATACATGGACAGGCCCACCCTCTGCCACAGAGGGAAACTGACAGGGTCCTTTCCCTGGTGGACACACCCCAGGGCTGTGGCAATAGTTGGAGGCACCGTGTAGGGACAGTTCAATAAAAGCCCTTTTAAAATAAATAAATAAATAATAATTCCACTGTGGGATAGCATGGCAGCAACCAGCAAAAACAAGTAAGGTTGAGGTTGCCCCTAGACTAGGTCCTAAAAAGAAGCATTGTGTTCAGACAGACTGTCCTGAGACACTGTGTTACTGCCAATGATTCCTGACCCTCCTCCTCCAGCCATGCTTGTCTCTTTGCTAGGAAAGGCTACCGCACCGATGCCACGGTCTCTGTCTTCCTTGGCTTCCTCCTCTTCCTCATTCCAGCGAAGAAGCCCTGCTTTGGGAAAAAGAATGATGGTGAGAGAAGGTTAAAGGGAAGAAGTTGGGGGCGGCTCTAGTCAAAGAATACCCAACTCAGAATCTAATGAAAGAGCCTTACCAAGACCCTTCAGACATCCCCCCAAATAACAGAGAATTCTCCCAAACCATCCAGTTCAGCATTAGACCCCGATCTCCACAAGTCACACCATCAGGGTTTAGCTAGCTCTACATCTCTCTCTACCTGTGATCCAGGGGGAAACCGGGAGCCTTCCCTAGAGATGGAGCCGATCATCACATGGAAGGACTTCCAGAAGACCATGCCCTGGGAGATTGTCATTCTGGTGGGAGGAGGCTATGCTCTGGCTTCTGGTAGCAAGGTAACCCTTGAATTCTGTGTTTATGGGTCAAATATTTGTCCAGCATCTTTACCTAATGAGTCATTTTGGCCCTGGGAGGGAAGACTCAAAGGATCTGAGAGGTAAATGTTCACAGAGTACCTAGGAAGGGGAGCAGTTGAGCAGGATGGCTGTCCTGTCTTGCCTGAGCTTCTCAGTGCTGCTGGGAACAGAGAGCTACAGATCAGCCATGCCACGGAGTCACAGCACACAGGCACTCACATCTCAGTTATAACACCGACAGTAAGGCAAGCAGAATGCTTATAGGATTTTATAGCCATCTCCTTCTGGGATCTGATGGTGGTGACGGGAGATGGGTCTATAAAGGCCCAGAGACACCCCAAGTGATACACAGTGAATCGTCCCTTGATCAGTCCGTACACATAGACTGAGTCTTTGGAGAATCTATTAAAGCTGATGTAAATGCTTCTTGATTTCCTGATTGGGAGGATTTAGGAGAGATCTTTTAAATGGAGCTGGGGGTAAATAATTGAATTTCCTAGAATTAGCCCTCCCTGAAATAGAAAACAATGAATCAGGTTAAGGTTCAGACTGTTTCTCCCTCCACCTTGTCTACAACATTAACCCCTTCTCTTTTGATTGCCCATTCATTGTGGGCCTAAATGCTAACTGCATCACTAATAATAAAGTCACAGAGTCCTACAATCGGAAAGACTCTTGGAGGACACTGAGTCCCATCTCCTACCCAATGTGCAATTTCCTTCCATGACACCCCTGGCTTGGACACCTCCAGTGATGGGTCACTCTCTGGGCAGGGAACAAAGAATAGTTGCTCTTTACTTTCAGCCCAGATCTTCTATATATTGTCCACTGTTTGCTCTGCCTCTGTTTTCTGGAACCCTCTCCTAAGTAATAGTTATTAAAATAAGGCAGTTATTAGGTCTTCTCTTTTTCCAACTAAAATTATCTAGCTCTTTTAACCATTCCTAATAGAAGGAGTGACCCCTTACCAACCAGGTCTCTTTCCCCAGGACTCACTATATTTGGCCAGATTCAAATATGGTCCATGGTGGACAATCTACTGCAAAGTTATATTACGCAAGCCCCATCTCTCGTCTCTGATTCAAGCACCACCCTGCATTCTTATGGAAGCTTTTATAAGGCTTCCTTGGCACTCATGTCAACATTTATATTGAAATTGCAGTCAACTAAAACCCTTCATTCTTTTCATCGTTATCCACCATTAGACCTCAACTCCTTCAACCCATTCTATATATATGCTGTCAGTATTTCTAATTCCAAGTTCAGGATATTGTATACATCTTTACTAAATTTAGTTGTTACTTTTGGCCCCCAAGTCTACCCTGGCAAGACATTTTTTTTTAATCAAAATTATACACGTATTACAGATAATATGGTTGCTATTTCTGTAAAACCTACTGACTCTATTAATCTTAATAAAATAATTCAGGTACCATACACATGATTCCTACTGAGTTTGAAATAATTTCAGTCTTTATGTTAGTGAGGAAGATCCAATGTAAAATATTTTCATACCAAGGGTTTAAAAAGTAAGACTTCCTTCATTGCATTTTTTCTAACTCTGCAGTCTAACTTGTCACTTTATTTCAAACTATAGTATAAAATAGTTCTGCTAGAAAAATAATTGCCATTAAAGTATTTCACTTATGAGTGCTATTTGGATAAAATATTAAGTAAAATTCCATTTCATTATAAAATGTACTATTTCCACTCAACTAACTGCTCTTCCTCCCCTGCCTTTGTCCAATGAGCAAGGTTTAAGGTGTTACGAGAGAACATTAGAGTTCCTGTAGGCCTCAAGGCTCTGAACCAACCACTAATTGATGTAGTATCCACATACTGGGTTTGTAGCTCTCAGTCAGTTGAGAAGAAAAAAGGAAGAATCGTTCTCCAAGGTGAAATGGCTACAACAGAGAGAATTCTGAAAGCCTCTGGTCATCAGTTGTCTGAGAGCTTGCCATGAGGTGGCCAGGATACTGCAGAGATCAAATGAGCTTTTGATGAACTTGGAAAAGAAGAGAAAAAGCAGCCTGCTGACAATATAGTGAAGGCTGTCTTTAGTCATACAACATGATTAGCAGGACTTAGAGCCTGAGGAATCATCAAATATCTCACTTGCTTTCTGCCCCTGCTTTCTCTACTGCATTTGCAGTCTCTAGGGTTCCACAGCAAAAGTCAGAGCATGTCAGCCATAGAAGGGAGAGAGAACGTGTATGAGGGGTCTTCAAAAAGTTCATGGAAAGATTTTTATTGTCTTTTAACTCCATTTTTTCCATGAACTTTTTGAAGTACCCTCGTATGGCAAAAACTCAATGTTACCCTGCATTTTTTAGGAGAGGGGGTAGACCCCACCATTGGCAGGCAAACATCTTCCAACCAAATAAATTATTCCAAGTGGGAAGAATATTCATTTATTTGAGTAGATGTGTATAAATGTTGCTTATGGAAAAGGTTAAGGATAGGCTATGTGCCTTCATATCTTGTGTCTTCAAACAGCACCAGCAGATAGTAGATCTTGATGTAGCCCTGACAGGATTTGAACCTAAAATAGGTTGGAGCTGAAGGACTACGCTATATGCCAGTAAGGAGGCACAATTCCCACCAAGTGGAGATAGACTTAATCCCTCTCTCCTTCATTACTCATGTAAAACTTCCAGTGTTCAATCCTGTCCATTCACCACTCCCCCCGCCACCCTGCCCCACCAAAAAAAAAAAAAAAACACAGGAAAGGTTACTATCCAAAGATGCTGATAATTTTTTCCCTTTCTTAGGTGACAAAATAAGAGGAAGGAATTTCAAAAGCAGAATAAAGGATTACACTTGGCACTCTGTGTAAAGGGCACTGTTGAGTCAGTGCACAGAGTGAGCGTATCAAAGGCTAGAGAAAGGGTAATGAGATTGAATTTGAGGGGCCAAAGCTGAGGGGTGAAGATTTCCAACCCCTGCCGAGTCAAAGTCTATGGCAATTAGGGCCAGCCCATGGCTCGCTTGGGAGAGTGCGGTGCTGATACCACCAAGGCCAGGGGTTCGGATCCTATATATGGATGGCCGGTTCGCTCACTAGCTGAGCATGGTGCTGACAACACCAAGCCAAGGGTTAAGATCTCCTTACTGGTCACACTTTGAAAAATTTTTTTTAAATTATTTTTTAAAAGTCTATGGCAATTAGAGTGGATAGCTCTCTGTGCTGTCATGACAACTGACCAGGACACCCAAAGAATGAATGTTGTACAATCATAAAAAAGAAATTCCTGGGCTACAAAAAGATCTAATCATAAAAATCAAGGCCCGGCCCATGTTGTGAGAGTGTGGTGCTGATAACACCAAGGCCACGGGTTCGGATCCCTATATAGAGATGGCCGGTTGGCTCACTTGGGAGAGTGTGGTGCTGACAACACTAGGTTAAGGGTTAAGATCCCTTTACCAGTCATCTTTTAAAGAAAAAAAAAAATCAGGAATGCCTCTGGCTCCAGATTAAAGATAGACCAACCAGAGAACCCCTGGTAGTCCAGCCCTCCGACACCCGACCTTCTGAAGCCTAAGAATTCCACTGGGAACATCCTTTTCCTTTCTCCTCACTATAACACCTTCTCTTCCTGCAGAGCTCTGGGCTATCGGCACTGTCCCTGGTCTGTCAACACTCAATCTAGTGTGGTAGAAAGAATGGTACCTGTAAAAAGGTTTCTGATTACCCCATGAGCAACAATAACTTGCCCTGCCCAACGCTTATCTGGAAGAAAGTGGGCACGTGAATAGAAAGCAGGAATGGACACAGGATGTGACCCTGCTCCAAAAAGCATGAGCTTGCCAAGTCTTTGCCTCTGTTTCTTCATTGGACCAGTGGGGATATTCATTCAAAAACCTGCTGGCTTATTCATAGAAGATAACGTATGAGAAATTGTATAAATGTAGGGTGGAAGGTATTTTGTGAGAATAGGATCCTTCTGCTCAACTCTCTCCCAAGCAAGAAACACCTGAAGTAACATCGGCAAAATGAAGCAGCCACAGTTCATTTCTAAGTTTTCAGCTGGACTCACGAGATGGCTTTGAGGAGATATTTTAGTGTTGGGCACATCCACCCTCCATTCCTCAACCTGTACTCGCTGCTATGCTTCTTAATGCCCAATGTTGATGGGGGTTGGAAGGAGGAAGAAAAAAACTGATGCAAATTACTGGAGCCAGACTGCCGGAAATAGGGCCTGTTCACCTTTGCTGAGAGTAGGGGAAAAAAAGTTTTTCACTGGAGTCCAAACTTGCTTTCAGCAACCCTGTAAAATATTTAATAAGAAAAGGTAGAAAGAGTTTCAGGCTGATGGCAGATATTCAGGTCCTTTCTTACCATTCAAACTGCTCATCTAAGTCATATGTGATACTTCAGGAAAGGGAGGTCACGGCCATCCCTCTCTGCCCCTCCTATCCTACTGCATAAGCCTGTCTGCTCACACAGAGCTCTGCCCAACTCTATCTCCTGCTTCCTCTGATATGTGCCCCCACCAATCACGCCTAGCCTTTGACACTGGAATCAAATGATCAGACACAGTAACTTTCAAAGGCACTGTATGACAAGAAGTGAGCCAGTCCTGGGTTCTATTCCCAGCTTGGGCACTAACCCATCAGCTAAATAAGACGGTTCCAACCAGAAGCTCCATATGGTCCCTTTCAGCTCTAAAGGACCTTAATTTAGCTTCTTTAGAATCTACCCCCTTCTCACCTGCTGTTTTCCATGCCAAAAGGCCCAGGGGGGCCAGCCAGAAGGCAGGAGAGGACACAACTAGTCATTTGCTTGGGACAATTTCCCAGCGTCCACTTTTCCCTTGCAATTTTCCCAACTTAACGCCAGCTAGTGGACTTGTTTTGGCTACATGCTATATGCCTGGTTACTTCTGGAAGGATGCCAGTTATCCTTACTGTACACATTTTTCCAGCGGGCTCTGGCTCTGCCATCCCATCATCCCTCACATCCCCCTTCAGCCTGTGAGTGTCAATTCCGTGGCAGAAATGAAATGGGCGTCATTGAGGTACAATGCCCTCAGAAAAAAGCAGCAAAATCCCCACTGCGTCTAGCAGGCCTGTGTTACCTTCCATGGAAGGTCTAAGCAGAGGTCAATTCCGTGGCAGAAATGAAATGGGCGTCATTGAGGTACAATGCCCTCAGAAAAAAGAAGCAAAATCCCCACTGCGTCTAGCAGGCCTGTGTTACCTTCCATGGAAGGTCTAAGCAGAGGCAGCTGCCCTGTTTCCCCGGTGAACCCAAGGCACACTACTTCCATGAGCTGTTCCTTGCGGGCAAGGGGGAGGGAAACTGTAGCATAGGCTTCATATTTTACAACCCCTTCTACAAGTTCTGTGTGTATTAGCACATAAGAGTCTCTGAGAAGTTCCTGCTTTAAAGAGATCTGTTTAATTTTGTTGAACACATTTCCCTATCATTTAGCTGCAGAAATAACTCTCAGGCTTCCACTTTATAGTGAGAGTACTGCAAGCAAGAAGTGGAGATGATTCTAATCATGCTCTCCCAGCCCCAATCCCTCCCTGCCTCTCCAGCCCTTCCACAGTCCGGCGTCACCCCAGGCAGTGACCGGAACAAATCAGGACCAAGCTGACAAAGCAAGGCTTAGACTGCAGGCATAGACAAGGATCACTTGGGGATCTGTGCTGTGCCGAGTCAGAGTGACTGGGGTGTGTTGGTTTCTATCTCGCAGGTGAAAGCTGGCCTGGGGGTCAATGTCATTGGCCTGGTGATAGTGATGGTGGCCATCAACACCTGGGGAGTTAGCCTCTTCCACCTGGACACTTTTCCAGCCTGGGCCAAGGTCAGTAATATCACTGACCAGGCCTAACACAAGTGGACAAACTGGCCTGACCGAAAGAGCTGCTGGCACCCAGGAGAATCTGAACCACAGGCAAAGAAGACCTCCAGGAGCATGCAACCCTAGACCATGCCTGAGGACATCCCCTCGCCAGAAGATTCCACCACCTACCACCTCAAGTGAAGTGCAGGAATCCAACAACCACAAACACATGCTTGGCTGTTAGTGTTCCCTTCCCTTCCCTCTTTCCTTAGTACCATAGCTCCAGAAAACCTAAAACTGTTCTCGTTTCCTTGTATCTAGTCTTTCCAATCAATTCTTTCTGAAGATAGGAAAGAAGGAAGCCTGTCTTGGTTGCCCCTCAGAGGCTAAGCCCCACAAACAGACTAGCCTCACTATGTTTTACGTTATTATTAATACCTTCTTAGGAGTTGAAGGAGATATGCAAATCATCCTACCCATGCAGATAGTGAAACCAGTAACAACTCTTTTGGGGAAAAACCTCACCCAGAACTTGAGACCTAATGTCAGTTCCCTTTTCTTAAGTGTTTCTATCCTAAGTTCTCTCTACAAAAAGGCAATTCTTAGTAGGTCCTCTTTGTGGCAATCTGTACTGTTTTATCACTACTTTGATTCCATTTTAAACAATTCTCTTCAATGGCGTTCCTTTACCCTGGTACCAGATTCCTGTAAGGAAATAGTGTTCCCCTTCAGAAGGAGGCTGGTGGTGGTCTCTTTGTCAAAGGAAAAGGAAGTAAACAAAGATGACACATTGAGATTAGCATCTCTCTCCACCTGTCTCTAACCACAGATACCATTGTCTTGGTTGAAAAGGAGGGGAAACTTTCATAACCTCCTCATTAGGGAGACCAAAACTATAATTAAGACCACAGCACTATTAATATTAGACTGGCTGTTTCAGGACTTAATGAGTAGTTTGTTACTGAGCCAACAAAGTACTAGGTAGCACCCAAAGGTCCAAACACATCAGTCACTTCCTACACAGCCATGAACCCCTTGAGGGGAGGGAAAATGTATATGTGTCTTGAATTCCCCCAGCAACTTCCACAAATGTAAGCTGTAACTGCTCAATAAATGTTTCCCACAAGAAAAGCCACTCTGGAAACCAAGGCCTCCTTCTTCCTCCTAAAGACCATGACATTTTCTCCACAATAGATGTCCTTGTTATGTGACTGAATATAGCTCTCGATCCCTCCAGTTTGCTGGCATTACATATTTCTGATTTCTACCATCAGTTGTTTGCTAAGCACATCAATGGGAAAAGGAATCTCCCATAGTTATTGCACTGTTTTAACTGATCTTAAATTACTATTGATAGCATGTACGATTTTCCCACAACAGTAATTTATCTATAAAAAACACTCCTATAGTTTATCAAGTGTAAGTTGTAAAGTTTCTTTTGCGCCAGTCAACACTTGCACAATCCAACCACAGCATGTGATTGACCAGGTATAACCGGAAGTATTAGTGTTTCTGCCCTATTAATTAGCTAAGGTAAAATTATTTTGCCAATATAATAGTGAAGACCTTGTGAGCCAAAATGAAATACCAATATTAAGTATAGTACAGTTGGTTTGATCAAGCGAGCATCTCTGTAGTCATTTTGCTTTAAAATGTTCAAAAGAGTCAGGATGTTACCCCTATTGTCAGGGCAGCCAAATCATCACATGTCTGATCCATTATAGAACTCAGACCATCAGCCTCTATGTCACACAATAAGACAGTGACACAGATAATCAAAAGATTCTGGGTAATAAGAAAGAAAAGCTGACTTAGAATTAAGTGAACTTAGAATTATTGGCCATTGTTCAGCTATTTGAGAATCTGATTCACCCTAAAGGAGAAACAGTGCCAACTCCCCACAGCAATTGCTGCCAGGTGTTGCAAGTAGCTAATGCCTTCAACTAGCCAATTTAGAAATGCGTTTATTTCAGTCTGGTCTACTGACTGCTCTCAAAAACAGCACTGTTCTTTCCCATGACCAAGATTCAGGCCAAACAAGACTGCCCATTCCGGTGACAGGAAATGTCAGATATAACTAATAACTCCTTGTCATCTAAAATCACCCCACTATTGGATAATAACCACAAGTTTGTGTGTCTTGCAAATATATTATAATTTGATTTTTATCTTCTAATATCACATTATGTGTATGAAAAAGCTGTAAATGATCATCTCATACCAGCTCATTATCCAGATGATGAAACACAGCCAAAGACACTAAAAGTATAGTTGTATCTTATTCTCAAGTCAAATATCAAATTTGCTTAGTCAAAGTTGCCTTTGAAATTCTGTTAAGTCATCTTCATACACAGTATACAGTCTTTTACATTAGCATTTACATGTCACAAAGACTCACATGCCATGTTTTGATAAAAAGAACAGCTGGTTCTCCCTCCTTTGTGAAAACAGATCAGTTTCTTCAGCTGAACACCAAATGAGGTAACCGGCTTCACATCTGGGAACCACACTGTTTAAAAAACTATCTCCAAACACTAGAATCACTCTCATAGCAAGATACTCAAAACTGTTAGGACACAGAGGGAACTGAGACCAACCGAGTACATAGGTAGCTCATTCTGGGGCTGCCCACATTGAATAAACACTAAGCACAACTGTCCACACTATTTACGTGGCACCTTCTTCTCCCCAGTCCTGTACAACTGTGCATGTATGATGCGACTGCACTGCACCTTTTACACAGTCTTACCACCAAGACAGTGATTCAAGCAGGCCCAGGACCCAGGTATTGCAACACCCCACCCTGGGCACTTTCCACAAAATCTATTCTCAGTTCTTTTATTTTCTTTCCCAGTGACTTGCAAAACAAGCCATACATTAGGTCTTCAGTACTTACTTGGCTGAATATGTTGCAATCAGATTTTGAAAAGGTATAAGCTGAATTTGAAAATTTAAGTGTCATGACTCCCTATTAAGACCAAACAAGGTCTCAAAATACTTTCCCTTCACCACCCTGTTCTTTTCCAAATGGCAAGGCCCTAATAGTAGGGAAAAAAGAACTCATTCAACTGCATAAGGAATGGAAATGCTACGTGCAAAACCCAAGACTAGAAGTTTGAGAATAGACTTATTTGCTCCAGTACAGTATATAGTGTTCCTTCAGAAGGATTAACTCAGAAAAAGCATTAAAAGTGAGGTAAACCTCAGCAGAAAAACAAACATCGGCATAGTATCTAGGGAGTGAACTGCTTAGTGGAAATGAAAACATTATACATGTGTATGTAAGCTCTATGAACCAATATGTACAGACAACTAGAAAAACCACACATCTTACTTTTCTCTATAGTCATACAGATGAAAATTGAATAAATGAGTTAGAAAAAGGAATTAAATTGTTCTTTTAAGACGTAACTGCTTAATTACATAAAACACTAAATCAGAAAAAAAAAGTCTAAAGACATCAACTGGTAACTTCAACTCGTCAAATTCAGCCCCTTCTGATAATTTTAAATAAGGTTGTTTTGTTTTTTTCTCCTTTTTTTTCCTCTCCCTTTGTTTTTGTTTTGTTTGAGAGAGTTACAGTTTAAGGATGAGTTTTTCAAGTTTATTAAGTTTCCAACATCAATCCTAAAGTCCTATATTTCACATGTCACAGTAATCCGCACTAATATTTTGAGTAACCCTCCTTTTATGGTTAGGTGTGGCAAAAAATTTTCTTAAATCACATTAACAGTAGCTTTTAAACATATTTAAAGGGAAAAAAAAGGGCATGTCTCGTGGTGCTTCTTCCCATCATTCCACTGATCTGTGCAGCAAGGGTTCCTAAAAAACACCTAGGAAAAGAGTAACTTTCAGTGCCACAATCCCAATCGCCACAACCCCGCTCACCACAACCACCCATCCACATTACAAATTTTCAACTACACCCTAAAATCTATGCTGGGCTGGGTTCCTCCAACATATGTCTTAGTAAAAATCATCTTGCCTGAGAACTCTTGAGTTCCTTTTCACTGCTGCAAGAACATAAAACTAGGAGAGGGTACCTGAACGGTGAACGCTAAGTCAGCCTGTATTTATTGTGTAGCAGTTTAACATGGTAAAATTGAACATATGAACTGTTTGATGGATGGCTCCCACTGGTAGAAATGATCCTATCAGCAAGATTATGTCACTCCTGAGGGGAGCCCTAAGTCCAAATGCGCCTTGTTTACAAGGTGTTATATAAAGAGACCTAATCTTCTAACATCTAAGTGATCTTCATCCCCAAAGCAGCCACTCCGGGAGAGCACACACACCTAATAACAATGCTATCATGACTGATAACAAGAAATCCCTCTATGGAAAAGGCTTTCTAAGCTTCTAGAATCTTGAATACTCTCAAGAGTGATATACCTTTATCCTTTGAAGCTGTACTTCACTCTGCTAACAATTCAGTAATTCTAGATCAAATCTTGTGAGCCAGGTGGTATGATCAAGGTGAATACTAGAAATTTTCAGTAGTATCAAAGAGAGTGACCACAGAATAAAGACAGATTTCACGTGGTTCATAAACTGGTCCTAAAAGTGACTGCAGAAATTCAAAAATACCGTGGCCAAAAGCAGCATGTTTAGACTAACATCTACTATTTATTGGACAATTTGCAAAGCATTATGCAACACATCACATACATTATCTCAATTATTTCTCATGAAAACCCTATGAGGTAGGTATTATGTCCACATCTTACAGATAATACAAGAGTTTCAGCTGAATAAGTCATTTGCCCATGATCACAAGGATAGAGAGAAGCCAAACCATAGCAAGGATAAAACTTAACTCCATGTATATGAGATCCATGTTTTCAAAGAGAAGTAGAATCACTTTACACTCTAGGACTTTATCTTGTAGCTATACCCTGCATAGATATGTACAATAACAGATCTACCCTGTATAGATATGTATAATAACATTAGGTTCAAGGTTATCACCATAATAGCAAAAGAATGACCTAAACATTCACTAGTAAATTAAATTATGGGATATCCATTCAACAGAATCTTATGCAGTCAAAAAAGGAATAAGGTTCCTTGTTTCTTACATACTGATAATCCCCGTTAAAAAAAAAAAGCAAGGGGCAGACCTCTAAGGACAGTTTGTTAACACTTGTGTTTAAAAAACAAAAACCCATGCACAAGTATTTGTTTAGGCACAGACTCTCTCTCAAAATCCACAGGAAAAGTGGTGACTGCCTGAGGAAGAGAAACTCGGAGCCAGAGGACAGCGGGGGAGGCCCTTTATACAAAATCACTGTTGTATCTTGACCCATAAGAAAAGTTACCTATTCAGGCCGGCCGGTGGCTCACTCGGGAGAGTGCGGTGCTGATAACACCAAGGCCATGGGTTCGGATCCTATATAGGGATGGCCGGTTTGCTCACTGGCTGAGCGTGGTGCTGACAACACCAAGTCAAGGGTTGAGATCCCCTTACCGGTCATCTTCAAAAAAAGAGAAAAAAAAAAAAAGTTACCTATTCAAATTAAAAAAAAAAAAAAAAGGACTACTACATCTGGCAAATTTGAAGGGTGATTTCTGATGGCAGGAAGAAAAACAAACCATCAACTGTGGCAAGAAGAAATTCTCCTTCTAGAGATGCTGGTTTTATTATACATTTGGGCCACATTTTTCTAATGAGAATCACTATAAAGTTGTAACGTAAATAAATTTTTTAAATGTGAAAAGGCATCAACTTTCGTTTACAGACAACTTCTCACTTACCATGTAATGTCAAATGTACCTGTAATCCCAAGTAAGATTCTTTTGAGAGAAAGGAGATCAAATACATCATTAAGGAAAAACATGCATACTAAATAGACTATGAACTCTACTGGGGCAAAGTCCATTATTTTGCATATTTTTTAATTCTCCAGTTCCTGACAGGATTCTCAGGATATAGTTTTTCAGTTAACCAACAGCAAATTGATTTATTGGTTAAATTAACAACTATGGAACTGCCTGACAACAGTATAAAATAAATGGGTAATTCACCAGAAACTGGCTTCTGGATAATTTAATTACTTTGAAACAACATAATTTAGTAGCAAATGTTTAACAAGCACCCAATTGCTACACTGTGTAATTAGCATTATTTGTATCTGATCAGCTACACAAAACTCGACCCTTCTTTGACAAAAGGTAGTAGAAATTCCAAAGAATAAGGGAGAGACTACTAATTAAAGGTCATATTTACTAATCTAGCACCATAATTCCAGTCTTAGAGCCTCCCAAGCAGCTGGACGGAGGACACGGGAAGAGGTGAAGATGTTGCAAAAGTAAGGGTAGTTGGGAACTCGTGGCCCCATTTGTGCTCTAAGGCAACACAGGGTCTAGCAAAGAAGAAAACTGCTGAGGCTGGAGATGAAAACGTTCAGATGGTAAAGGAGGCCCTCAAAAGTAGTAGAATCAGTGTATCCAGAAGGCAGTGCTGGAGTCGACCTCATGAACTAGGGGGTTTCTTCTTGGCATCCAAGTCCTTTTTAATTTCTTCAAATTTTTTAGCCAGGTTTGGTATCTTTAAAAACAAAAAGAGATTATTATAATTTTGCATCTACTTAATCAACATTCTTTTACTCCTCTTCTTCCAAAGATAAATTGTTTTACAAGTTTTTATTTTCCCCTGAAAGAGACCTGCTAAACAGTGGTATTTCTTAGCCTCATAACTGCATATGAAATATGCTCCCTTCTCTGAAAGTCAGACCCTCACCTTCTACTTTTAATAATAAAGCCCCTGCCTAGAAAACCATATGTCCCAAGTGAAGACTGACAAAGCAAACTCATGGGCAGTTGTGCCACCTGGTTTTTAACTTCCCCATCTAAGGGCCGAGCCTGTGGCACACTCGGGAGAGTGCGGCGCGGGGCACGCAGCAGCGCTCCCACCGCGGGTTCAGATCCTATATAGGGATGGCCGGTGTGCTCACTGGCTGAGTGCGGTGCGGCCGGTCTCAAAAAAGACAAAAATAAACAAATAAATAAATAAATAAATAACTTCCCCATCTATAAAGCGAGATTAACGCAACTCCCCACTTCACAAAACTCTGTTCTCCTTAAATGTGCTATATGACATAGATCGATCTCCAAAATTGTCAGTCATTTCTACTAGTGGGTAGGGGAGCTGAAAAGACCATCCAATTTTTTTTTTTTTTAACTTTGGTGTTATAACACCACACTCTTGCCAATTGGGCTAACAGGCCAGCCACAATAATCTTTAAATGCTCACTTATCACATGATTTTCCATAGAATTTTAAGAACCCAACTAATATTAATTACTCTGGGCTAACGAGAGCATGGCCTAGGACCACCTAAACTGATGGGATTTTGCCCTGTTGTGGTAATATGGAAGACGGATGGTTCTGTGAGTTAGACCATATTTTCAGACATTGGAAAATCTTTCTCCAAAACTCAGGACTTCTTCCTCAGCCCTATAGACCTCATTTATGCTGAAAGATACACTTACCACAACAAAGAAAAATCACTCTAAAACAGTTACATGGAATCAAGGAGGACATGGATATGGCCACTTACGTCATAGTTCTGAGCCAGATACATTCCAACCACGTTGCCCAAAGTAAATCCAAGCTGAAAGAATAGAACAGAAAGAGTTATACACTGCATACTGAGTCCGTGCCAGTCTGATTCTAAACCAAAATACATAGATAATATGTATTGTATTAGAAGACCCTGGTGTCCAGTTTAGGACTGTGTATGAGATTCACATTTTTCTTCTATAAAATAAACAATACACTCCCAAAAGGTTAAAGAGCATACAAAAGTAAGAATAAATGGTGGCAGTGAGTAAATCTACCCTAAATTCTCCTAATCCCCTCACCCCCCATAAATACTTGACTGCAAGTTCTAGAAACCCAAAGCAATGTTCTGATTTTTGTTGCTGAATGCTGCAATCTCTTTTTTCTTTTTCCTTTTTTTTTTTTTTTGGTTACGGGTATTGTTATTCCTCTCTACATCAAGTAAAAATTATTCACTAAAAATGTATTCAGTTAGGGGGCCAGCTCGTGGCTCACTTGGGAGAGTGTGGTGCCGCTAACACCAACGCCACGGATTCGGATCCTATATAGGGATGGCCGGTTAGCTCACTTGAGAGAGCATGATGCTGACAACACCAAGTTAAGGATTAAGATCCCCTTACCAGTCATCTTTAAAAAAAAAAAAGTATTCAGTCAAATCACAGGATCTCATAGTTCAATCTCTTCATATTTCAAAAGAAGAACTTGAGGCCAGGATGGGGAAGAGATTTGTCCAGAGTCATTCACAAGGGGCACAGGACAACCTAAATTAGATATACACTCTAAAACTAAAATATGTCATGGCAGAAAAGAATAGGAAACTCTGACATACCACTGAGAGCACATATGGCTTAGCACTCGGCCATGGGTGGTCTGACAGGTAGGACACTTAAGGGCTGTGGGGAACACAGCCTAACTCAGTGACAAAAGAGAAAGGCATGATTTTTAGAGAACTACAAATGTTTACATCCCACTTGGTGACTATTCTCCTGAACAAAAACTATTTCATGAAAACTTAGAGAACTCTCTACACACCAAAAGGGCCAAAGCTCCTTAGCTTTGAGTTTTAATGATAATTCCATTTTTCCCCTAGTAATTAAGAACTTCCAAGTGGAGCCTAATTTCTAATTTCATGAATTCAAACTGGCATCTTTTTTTTTTCCCATTTTGTTTAATCATTGTTGCTCCTAGTCAATCAATACACAGCAGAGAGCTTAAAATAGAAAAAACAAAGTGTGGCACTTAACATCATCAATCACACATGGCATGGCCGAAACTTATCTTCAAGCTGGGGACGCATTACTAAGCTTTAAGGTTACATGTTTGAAACACCAAAAGCATAATTTAAATTGGTTTCTTGTTAGCAAACTAAAAAACATAAAACAGGCTAATGTAGTCTCTAATCATAGACCTTTCTCTGATCATTTGATTAATCAGACACAACTTGCAAAAACATTTTTACCAAGGTGGCACCAAGAAGCAGAATGATTACACTAACAATGTAATGTTCCAGCTCTAGCATTCTAAGATTCCTAGTTCTTACCCTGTGAGTCTGAAAATAAATATGGCATACCTAATGTGGCTTCATTTTGGCAACTTCAGAAGGCAACAGGGCATGTGAAAAACTAGCAGTTATTTTAAAGACACAAAACAAAACAAAAACCATGGGCCTCTGGAGAAATCACATCCAATTCCAATTTCAGAATACTACCAGAACTACCAATGGGATTTTATAAAATTAAATACATCTCATTACTGGCCAGCCACAAAAAAACAAACAAACAACAACAAAAAAAAAAAAACCACAAGAAGAGAAATGTAACTCATTAAGAGAAATGTTGCAGAAAATGTATGATGCTGGAAAACAACAAAAAAAAAAAACACAAGAAGAGAAATGTAACTCATTAAGAGAAATGTTGCAGAAAATGTATGATGCTGGAAAAGCATATATGTTGTTCATGGGATAGTCAATAGGCAAGTTTAGACAAATCTAAATCTGAGGAACAGTGATTCAGCCTAAGAAGTTAGACTGGTGCCAGATTATAGAAGATCTTGAATGAGGCTGAAACCTCTTTGCAGGCCAAGAATGCTTAACTTCTTCCAGGCCAAGTAGCTGTGTAAGCTGGATGCCATTACTACAGTTCCCCTCCACATCATTTGGTCCCCCCATACTATTCCCTGCAGAGAAGGCAGTGCAGAGGAAGTGAAATGCCTTCTTCCCAAGCTCAACACTAAAGACATTACTATCACATATTCTCTGCCATAATTTTGACCTTTAGGAGTATGAAAAAGTCACCTTGGGGACACCTTTCAGCCACCTTGGGAATAACACTAGAAGTCTGCAGACAGAGGAAGACCATGAGGAAAGCGGTATACAGGGCGAAGAGGCTTGTGCTAAGATCCCCAGAAGAAAAATCAAGACTGGCACAGAGCAATACATAAGAGAATGGCATTTTCCAGCTCTACAAAGTACACACAGAATCAGTGAAGATCCACAATCCATTATCCACAATTCTGAAACCCCAAACTCTATCCAAAATACAATTCATCATAACTCATTTGGCAGCAAAATCACACCTGATCTGAACTGATATAAGACTATTTATAGCTTTATTTATCACACTTTAGTGTGAATAATCATTTTTTTGCTATAGAAATAGAAATCTGTAAATATAGGATTCTGTTCTAGACCCAACTGGAGAATATGTTTAATGGCAAAAATCTTAATAAAGTATTTGATTACAAAGTGCTATCCCAGACTCTGCTAGGGTTAAGTATCAAGATTCATGCAGCTTATTACCCTTCTAAAATCTGACAGAAATCTGATTTCCTGAATACATCTGGCCCCCAAAGATTTTGATTAAGGGACTGCAGACCATTATAGACTAAAAATTAACTTCATATTCTGCCTTGTGAAAGAATAAAAAATGGTCTCTGCCCTTAAAGAATTTATATAATGTATAGGAAGAAAAGCTACATATAAGTAAAATAGTTATATAACAGAAGGCAGCACCCACCACAGGATCTTGAATGTGACAGATGCTCCAAACACCACAACTAGGTCAAGCATTCAGTGGCAAAATGAATGATACAGAAGTGATTCTTTTAAGAAACCATACTTGAAAGAGATAGGGTACCTCAGGTTGTTATTCAAGGCTCTAAAAATGCTGAAGAAGTGTTAAAATTTAAACTAGCAAAGGAACTGGGAAGGGAACTGAATGTGGAGAATCAAAGCAGCACAAGAGAGGAATGAGGATGTAATGACTGGAAATAAAAGAAACAGGCATGATTAGAAAAGAGGATTTGAGTTAAGGAATGGAGACAAATAGGAATGGAGAGCTGGGCAGGACTAGCTGATGGACCTCAAAAAGCAAGCAAAAGGGCCGGCCCGTGGCTCACTCGGGAGTATGGTGCTGATAACACCAAGGCCACGGGTTTGGATCCCTATATAGGGATGGCCGGTTGGCTCACTTGGGAGAGTGTGGTGCTGACAACACCAAGTCAAGGGTTAAGATCCCCTTACCAGTCATCTTTAAAAAAAAAGAAAGAAAAGCAAGCAAATGAGTTCCATTCGCATGCAATAATGGTAGAGAGCCACTGATTGCTCTTAACCCACAGCAACACGATGAAAGTGCTGCTTTGGAAACATTCACCTGGTAACTATACTCAGAAAAGACGGAATAAGTACAAATTAGAGAAAAGTCCAGATTAGTGTGTTGCCATGGGGGGTAGCAAGCAAACACGAATGAACTGTTTTTCTTCTTAGATATCAATAAAGATCAATGGAACAGAATGAAGAGCCAGGAATAAACCTTTACACTTACAGTGGGTGAAGTGATTTTGAACAAGGGTGTAAGACATTCAATGGGGAAAGAACAATCTTTTCAAAAAATGGTACTGGAACAACTGGATATCCACATGCAAAAGAATAAATGAGACCTGCCTTAACATCATATACAAAAATTAACTCAAAATGAATCAAAGACCTAAATGTAAGACCTAAAACTATAAAACTCTTAGAAGAAAACATAGGCGTAAATCTTCATGGCCTGGGATTAGGCAGTGCTTTCCTTAGATATGACACCAAAGGCAGAAGTGACAAAAATAAAATAAAATAAATTGGACTTTATCAAAATTAAAAATGTTTGTGTTTCGGGCCGGCCCGTGGCTCACTCGGGAGAGTGCGGTGCTGATAACACCAAGGCCCCGGGTTCGGATCCCATATAGGGATGGCCGGTTCACTCACTGGCTGAGCGTGGTGCTGACAACACCAAGTCAAGGGTTAAGATCCCCTTACCGGTTAAAAAAAAAAGTTTGTGTTTCAAAGAATACCACCAAGAAATTGAAAAGACAACCCACAGAATGGGATAAAATATTTGCAAATCATATATCTCACAAGAGACTTGTATCCAGAACATTAAAAATGGGCAAAGATTTGAAAGGATTTCTCCAAAAAAAGATACAAATGGTCAACAAGCACATAAAAAGATGCTCAACATCATTAGTCATTGAGGAAATGCAAATCAAAACCACAATGAGGTACCAAGTTATAGCCACTAGGATGGCTTTAAAAAAAAAAACAAAAAACAAGGGCAAGCATTATGGCTCACTTGGGAGAGTGTGGTGCTAATAACACCAAGGCCACGGGTTCGGAACCCTATATAGGGATGGCTGGTTAGCTCACTTGAAAGAGCGTGGTGCTGACAACACCAAGTCAAGAGTTAAGATCCCCTCACCGGTTATCTTTTTAAAAACAACAACAACAAAAACAAATGTTGATGAAGATGCGTAGAAATTGGAACCTTCATACTTTGCTGGTGGGAATGTAAAATGGTGCAACCACTCTGGAAAACAGTCTAGCAGTTCCTCAAAAACTTGAGCAGGAGAGCTACCATTTGAAATAATCCACTTCAAGGTACATGAGAATACTTCAAAAAGTTCACAGAAAAATAGAATTAAAAGATAATACGAATCTTTCCATGAACATTTTGAAGTAGCCTTGTAAACCCAAGAAAATTGAAACACATATACACATAAAAACTTGTACACAAATAT